CGCGGGGCGCGGACTCCGGGCACCCGTGCCCTGCGTGCCGCGGCCCCGCCCAGGCCCCGCCCCCCGCAGCCAGTTCCCGGTCAGCGGGCGCGAAGAGCCCTCCAGGGAGGTTGGGCAGCATGGCGAGGCACGTACAGCTGGCTCCCGCCTCGCTGGCGCTGGTGCTGAGCCGGCCCGAGGCGCGGGAGGCGGCGGCGGGGGAGCCAGGCGGCCGGGCGGTGTTCCGCGCCTTCCGCCGCGCCAACGCGCGCTGCTTCTGGAACGCCCAGCTGGCGCTCGCCGCTTCGCGGCTGGCCTTCCTGGGCTGGCTGCGGCACGGGGTGCTGCTGGTGCGCGCGCCACACCCCTGTCTGCAGGTGCTCCGCGACGCTTGGAGGCGCCGGGCCCTGCGGCCACCGCGCGGCTTCTGCATCAGCGCGCTAGGTGAGTGCGGGACCCGCCGGCCGCCGGGGGAGCCGGGGGCCCCGGGCGCGGCGGGCCCAGGGCGGGCCTCAGACGCCCAGACACGCACGGCCTTCTGCAGGACCGGGTGCGCCCCATCCCCGGCTCTCTTAAGTTCTCCGGGGCGCACGGGCTCCTGGGAAAGTCGGAAAGTCAAGAAAGTCGGAAAAGTGATGCTCTGCTGGGAGAGACTCTGGATGCTCCCAACTTCGTCTCCTGCCTCCTGCCTCCTCCGCCTGGTCTCCTCCTCCTCGCCTCTTCCTCCTCCTCTCCTTCCCCCTCCTCCTCCACTTCCTCCCTCTTCATCATGTTTCCCCTCCTCCTCTTCCTCCTCCTCTTCCTCCCCTTCTCCCCTCCTTTTCATCCTCCTCCTCTTCCTCCCTCCTCTATCCTTTCTAATTTCTCTTCCTCCTTTCTCTTTCCTCCTCGTTCGTTCCCTCCGTCCCCCCCTCTCTTCCTTCTTCCATCCTTCCCTTTCTCTTTCTTCCCTTTTCTTTGCTTTATTTTCTTTTTCCTTTTTTTTTCTTTTCTCTTTTCAGTATCAGTTTTTTGGGTCCTGCTTGTGTTAAATGGTTGGCATGGTCTTAGATCTGCAGCTAGCCCAAGGTTTGACCATCGTTAACTGCCTGGGGAAAGAACTGGGTGGTGCTTTGGACTCATCCCTTCCGTTAGCTGAATAGAGAGGGTTCCACCTCCCCAGTCTTCAGACTAACCCATTTGTTAGGAAAGTACAACAGTTTGTTGCTTGCATAAAAGTAGCTTCTCGTTTGAGAAACTAAACTACTGCAACAGTGAGTGGTCATTTGGTGTGTTAGCTCCCAGTAACAGCCTAGTTCTGTTTGCACTCACTTGGGGGGTGTGGAGGCCATTTGATGGTGTGGTGTTGACAAGTCTCACCACCCTGGGTTTGTTTTTTGTTTGTTTGTTTGTTTTGGCCTGGAACTCACTGTGTAGACCAGGCTGGCCTTGAACTCCAGAGATCCTCTTGCCTCTGCCTCCCGTGTGCTGGGATTAAGGGAGTAAAGGCTTGCACCACTGCAACCTACCACCCTGGGTTTTGACTCCTACTAAGAGAGCTTTCTATCTTAGTAACAGATCCTCCTTCTTCCATCTCAGGAGGTGCAGCAGCACATAAGCTCTGGTTTTAGTCAGCAGGCGCAAAGGAACAGCTGGAGACACTTGATGCTGTGTATTGTCTTATCCAGGATAGTGTTCCCCAGCCCAGGCAGCTCAGACCAGCACAGTTAAACCTTGGAAGGCTTCCTACCTCCATGCTGTGTGGCCCCTCCAGCCCCACTCTCACTTTTCTTTCCCTAAGAAAAAAAATTAAAAAGCTCATTGCAAAACCGCATGGGCACATTTCATCCCCTTTTACATGCAGGAGTGAGTGGAGAAAATAGGTTTCTGGCTCTGAGAGCAGTGAGCCAAGTGGCCAAGCCAAAATCCTCATGGGGGAAGGGGTCTTACAGACAGGCTGGATGAAAAAGGCTTTTCAGTTCTGTGTCCTGGGTTTCTCTGGTTTGAATTAGTGGTTACATTCTCTTGATCCCCCTCCTCCTTTCAGATGGTGAGTGGAGCATGTATTTCAGAGAGGGACTAGAATGTAGCAGGGGTCTGGACCTGGGGGTGAAATAAGAGAGGACTTGTGCTAAGTCAGAAGCAGCCATAATCCCACCATCGGGGCCTAGTGAGCAGTGGTACATGCCAGTGTAAGGCCAGAATGGTGAGCTGCCTTCCCTCCCATCACCATGGGCCTGACTAGTACTCTGTAACAGAAGACAAACTAACAAGGGAAAAGCAGAACACATGCTTAAAGTTTTTTTGTGGTTTTTTTTTTTTTTTTTTTTGGTCTTTTTGAGACAGGGTCTCCCTTTAGCCTCAGCTGGCCTGGAACTCACTATGTAGACCAGGCTGGCCTTGACCTCACAGAGATCCGCCTGCCTCTGCCTCCCAAGGGCTGGGATTAAAGGCATGCCCCACCACGCCTGACTTTGAAAAGTTTTTTTTAAACTTAAAAGAGCATTTATTTCTTTTTAGAAAATTGAAAATAACATTTATTTGGGGTGGGGACATGTACATGCCAAGACGTGTATAGAAGTTAAAGGATAACTTTCAGGATTCAGTTCTCTCCTTCCCCCATGTGGGTCCCAGGGACTGAACTCAAGTCATCATGAGGCTTGGCAGCAGGTGCTTTTACCCACTGAACCATCTCACTGGACCCCTTAATTAATTAGTTAAATAATTAATTTAGAGAGGATCTCACTATGTAACCCTTGTTGGTTTGGACTGGAACTAAAGGTGAGAGGATGATAGGATTTTTTTTCCCTCCTTTTGTTTTCTTTTTTTTGAGACAGGGTCTCCCTGTAGCCCCAGCTGGCCTCTGGAACTCGCTATGTAGACCAGGCTGGCCTCGAACTCACAGAAATCTGCCTGCCTCTGCCTCCTGAATGCTGGGATTCAAGGTGTGTGCCACCACACCTGGCTCATGTATGACACCAGAGCCTTTGCAAATAGCCCAACGACTCAAGTGAAAACTGTCCTTTTTTATGTTTAGATTTGATGAGCCATGTAGAAACTACACAAAAAGCTTTTGACCTAATGGCGATAGGCTGGGGAGGAAAGTCCCATCTGATCATACACTCCCCCCCCTCGGGGGGGCTTCTCTGTCTGGCATCGTTCTGTACTTAGGCGGGACCCTCAGGAATGGGGGTCTTTGCTTAGTGGGGTTTTTTTTTGGGGGGGGTGCTGTTATTGTTTTTTTGAGATAGGGTCTAATGTAGCCCAGACTGACCTCAAATTGACTGTGTAGTTAATGTTGTTCTTGAACTGATCCTCCTGCTTCAGCCTCCCATTTCTGGTTGATGGGGATTAAACCTAGGGTTTTGGTACATGCTATGAAGCACTCTACCAACCCAGCTACATCCTCAGCCTGGGGAAGATCTTTTTTGATGTTGGTGAGTAGATGCACGTGGGGTGGGTGGAAGGGTTGCTTTTGTTTCTGTGATGCTATGGTGGCCCAAGAGCTGATGACTGGTGACTCTTCTGTCTCTGCATGACTCTTGGCTTCTCCAGTTGCATGGTAAAGCAGGGAGAAGCTGTTGTCCTGCAGAGAAAATGAAGATCTAGTCTGTTTGCCCCCCCCCTGCCTTGGCAGCATGGGCTTCCAGAAGGCAAAGGAAAGGGCAGCTGTAGACTGATGTGGCTTCTTGCCCTGTTCTCATGGGCAAGAGCAAAATACTAGAAAAAGACACAAAGGACCAACTTGGTCTCTGTCACTGATTTGGATTTTTTTGAAGACTCATGTACTCTTGCATAAAAGCATTTGGGCACGTGGACTGTGGCTGACAGCCTGCTCACAGATAAATGCAAGGAGAGGAGGGAAAGCCAGCTTCATCAACCCAGCCGTGTTCACATGGTCCTTCTGAGCCTGGGGTTCGTGGGGCCTCTCAAAACCTGTGGGAGAGGGGCTGGAGAGATGACTCAGTGGTTAAGAGCACTGGCTGCTCTTGCAGAGGACCTAGGTTTGGTTCACAGCACGCACAAGGCGGCTAACACCTATCTGTAACTCCAGTTCCAGGGGATCCAATACCCCTTTCTTACCTCCACGAGCATGGCACACACATAATATGTTTACACACATTCATACAAAACACACATACACATAAAATAAAAATAAATGTTGAGTAAGCCTGCTGTGGTGGCTCATCTATAATCCCAGTGTTTAGGAGGTGGAGGTAGGAGGATCAGGAGTTCAAGATCATCCTCAGTACACAGTGAGAGTTGGTAGCCAGCTTGGGTTCTGTAGAACTTTGTCTCAAAAAACAAACAAGGGCCATTGAGATGGGCAAGGCTGACATCTGAATTGGATTCCTAGAACCTATGAAAAGATGGAAGGAGAGAACAAGCTCCACAGAGTTGTCCTCTGACCTCCACATGTGCACTGTAGCATTGGTATACACAAATACACGCACACACACACACACACACACACACACACACACACACACAGTTTTTTTTAAGGCAGAGGAACAAAAAAAGAGCCGAGGAGGGGACCCTAAGTCCCAGCAGTTTAGTTACGAATGACATGCGCCCCAGAACACTGAACTTTCTCTTCACTTTCTCTGCCTTAGCTTTTCTCTTATGAGAGGACTGGTTTCTAAGCAGACAAGTGGGACTTGATGACAAGGGTTACTGCTGCTTTTGTGCCCCGGCCTGAAGTGCTAAGTTTTTGTTTTGTTTGCTTTGCTTTTGTTTTTTATTAGCAAATGACATTAACACATGAGAGGGGGAATTCTAGAAGCTTAGGGACACAGCTGCTTGTTTACACAGCTGAGCCACCCTGTGTGTATTGGGGGTGGCACTCTGTTTTGTTTGGGCAGCTCCAGTTGCTGCACTGAGAACACTTACAGGGGCAGATAGGAGAGGCTGGCCAAGGCGGGAGGTCACTTGTCCAAGTGAGTTTGTTTAATTCACATCACCCACATGGTGGCAAACATACAACTCCAGTTCCAGGGGATCTGATGCCCTCTTCTGGCCTCTGAGGGCATTGCATACATGGTGTGTTTAAATGCAGGCCAAATACTCATACACATAAAATAAAATTTAAAATACAGGCAAACCGGGGCTGGAGAGATGGCTCATCGGTTAAGAGCACTGACTGCTCCTGCAGAGGACCCGGGTTCGATTCCCAGCACCCACATGGTGGCTACGAACCATCCTTAACTCCACTTCCAGGGGAATCCGAAGCCCTCTTCTGACCTCCGAGGCATTGCAGGACACGGGTGCACTCACATACATGCAGGCAATACACTCATACACATAAAATAATAAAGATGAGCCAGGCGTGGTGGTGCACGCCTTTAATCCCAGCACTTGGGAGGCAGAGGCAGGCAGATCTCTGAGTTCGAGGCCAGCCTGGTCTCCATTAGAAAATCCAGGCCAGCTGCGGCTACAGGGAGACCTTGTCTCAAAAATACCAAAAA